ATGATCCATGTCTTAAAAATCCTATTTTTCCAGATTTCACAACCCACTGAAACTGGCTTGCATTTATTTATTTTCAGGTGACTCTAAACAGTAGCACTACCAGGTCTAGGAGGATTGCCAGGTAAGGGATGTAGTGTGTGCGCACAAGTGTGTGTGTGTGAGAGAGAGAGGGGTGAGAGAGAGAGAGAGAGAGAGAGAGAGAGAAAGAGAAGTACCTACTTGTCCAAGTGTTTGGAGAAGAGGGTCATGGTCTCTCCTTAGGCCCAGAGTTCTCCTTACAAGGCTATACAACCTAGCTCTCTGGTACCTATGCCATATCTACACATGTCATTGGAGACCTATGAAGGCATTTTACTCTTGTACTATGCCTAAACTCCTAAAATTTATTGGAAGAAAGGACATTGAACATAATAAAGGAGGAATACTCCATAAATTAGAGTCTAGCCTGGTCTACATAGCAAGTTCCAGAACAAGCAGTGCTACATAGTGAGTGTCTGTCTCAAAATTAATTAACTGATTAATTATTGATTAAGCAAAATAGTGCTTCATATGCAATAAAAGATTAATAAATGAATTATAGCATGGCCAGACAATGAAATGTTATAATGACATGAAAGAATGACACAGTATACCATTTCATACAAAGGAGTTTACAAAATGGAATATGAAGTATGGCTCAATTTTAGTTAATTAATAATATTAAATAGGGGGCTAGAGAGATGGCTCAGAGGTTAAGAGCATTGTCTGCTCTTCCAGAGGTCCTGATTCTATTTCCTGCAACCACATGGTGGCTCACAACCATCTATACTGAGATCTGGTGCCCTCTTCCAGCATGCAGGTGTATATGCAGACTGAACACTCATAAACATAAAAAATAACACTATTTAATAACCAACATTGAACTATTTAGCTGCTGTTTTATTTATTGAACCTTTTTTAACATTTTTAAATTTATTTATTATGTATACAATGTTCTGCCTGCATGTACACCTGCACACCAGAAGAGGGCACTAGATCTCATTATAGATGGCTGTGAGCCACCATGTGGTTTCTGGGAATTGAACTCAGGACCTTTGGAAGAACAGCCAGTGCTCTTAACCTCTGAGCCATCTCTCTAGCCCCTATTGAACCTTTAATATGAACATATATATGAACAAAGCTCTGAGCCAAGTACTCTGCATGAATAATTTTATTTAAATGACAATCCTGTGATATGGGTCAATATTTAATCTTTTTACAGATGATGAAATTGAAGCACTAAGCAGTTGAGTCATTTACTTAAGTGAGCTCTCAGATACACATCTTGATGTGTTGGACTTATGAATTCAAACTCAGCAGTAATATTACATCTATGATCATGTTTGTATAGGAAAAAAAATACTCAAGACAAATGGACACCCAAACATTTGCAGTTAGTAGTGATTACTTGTGTATGATGAGGTTATATGTAGCTTTTGTTCTTGTTACACTTTCCTAGGTACTTTGAAAATTGTCTAATTTACATGGATTATTTCCATAACCAGAAAAAATATATATACAATTTTAATTATTTTATTTTCATGTGTAAAACTACTTTGTCTGCATGTATATCTGTTTATTATGTGTGTGCCTGCTGCCGGAGGAGGCCAGAGAAGAGCACTGAATACCCTGGAAATGGAGCTAGAAGTAGCTGTGGGCCCTCACGTGGTTGCTGGGAATCATACCCAGGACCTCTGGAAGAGCAGCCAGTGCTCTTAATCAGTGAGCCATCTCTCCTGCCCCCATCAACTTTTATTTAAAAGAACGAAGAAGAAGTGCCCAATTCACACATACCTGTAATCCCAGCAGTCTGGAAGGCAGAGGCAGGTGGATCTCGGTGGGTTCGAGGCCAGCCGGGTCTACAAAGTGACTCCAGGACAGCCAGGGATACACAGAGAAACCCTGTCTCCAGACAAACAAGAAAAAGAGGGGAAAAAAAGAAAGCTGTTTCCAACTTGTAGGAAGCAAACTGCTGAGGCATAGGAGAGTAACTTCATTAGTACAGAACATTGTCGAAAATGAATAAATAGTGTATTGCACATATATTGCTTCAAATGGGTGCAAATACCATCATATATGCACAAAGCAGGTTCTGTGTGCCATACATTATTCAATTTATATTAAGACACAACTATTATCATACAGAAGTCGGTGGTATTTTACATATGAAAATACTAATGCAAGGGTTGGGATATGGCACTAAATGGAATACACACATACACACACACACACATACACACACACACACACACACACAAACATTTTCTGTAGTTTAAGTGTCTTCTAAACAATGTGCCTTCATTTTTTCAGGGGACAGGGGGAAATAGAAAGAAATACTGAGATTTCACACATTATTGAAAAGTTAAGCTAGGAGGCTAGCTTCCTGGAGAAAACAATTTACAAGGATGAGAGAGTGTGGGCAGGAAGGTGGTGTAGGACATTCTCTTCCGGAAAGACATAGTGTCAGAGATGCAACCTCATCCTATCCTCAGCTGATGTCACTACCTCAGCACAGCAGCTGTTCAGCACTGCCTAACACTTGCCCTGGGGCCAGGCTAGTTTCTAACCAATAGGAAGCCCTGTTGAAGGAGGAGGAGGAGGACACTCTGGGATAAGGAGAAGCAAAGCTTATGGAACTTTCCTTAATGCCAAACCGCCTCAAAGGTCAGAGGGCACCTGCTTTCCTCTCTTGCATTCTTTCCTCTCCCTTTTGGAATGTGTCCTTTGTTCTCTATTGCTGTGCATCTTATTATCATCCGTTGAGGTCCCTAAAACATACGCTTCCATAGGATTCCAGTGATCTCATTGTACATAAGTAATCATCTGGTCACAGAAATCAAAACTGAAACACTGAAGATTGCACACTTGACATCAATGACCTAAAACTTGGCAGACATTAAGAACAGTCACACTACTAGATATGTAATTCAGTATTTGAGCACTTGCCCAGCATGCTCAAAGTCATGGGTTCAGTTCCCAGCAACACACACACACACACACACACACACACACACACACACACCAGTTACAGTGGCAAATAAAAGGCGGTCCTTATTCCTTTAGATAGATAGGAATCTTCAGTTGGAGAAAGTGAAAACAATAAACATGTATATTGTGTAAAAATTACAAGGTCAAAAAGGGGAGGCAGAGAGAATGAGGAGGTTAACTTACTCCCAATTTGACCTGTAATTGGTATCACCTAGATTTCAAAATTAAGGAAGACAAAAACCTGGAGGAGAAACCTGTATATTCAAACAGACTTGAGAGCTGGTGAGATACCTCAGTGAACAAAAGTGCTTGCACTATAAACCTGATGGCCTGAGCTTGATCCCAGGGATCCACATGGTGGAAAGAGAAAGCTGATTCCCACAAGTTGTCCTCTCTCTCTCTCTCTCTCTCTCTCTCTCTCTCTCTCTCTCTCTCACACACACACACACACACACACACAGAGTATAAAACAGAGTTGGGCCTACACTTGGAACTCCAACATTCAGGAAGCAGTGGAGCTTCTGTGCCCAGCCTGGCAGCGAGAGCTAGATAGCAAGACTCTGTATCGAAATAAAATGAACTTGAACTCTTGAAAACTGCCAACATCAGGAAAGACAAGGGGAGGCCCGGAGCGTGTGGAGACTAAGAAGATGATGATTAGGGGGAATGTAGAATCGTAATGAGATCCTGGAACAGAAAATGGACACCAGTGAAACGGCAGGCCCAATTCAAGTAAAACCTAGGGTTCAGTTAACAGAGTCTCCAATTTATATTTCTTCATTTTGATAAATATATAATGTTTACATAGCACACTAAGCAACAGAGAGGGAAAACTGGGTGAAGAATGTAGGGAGTTCTATGTACTGTTCTTAGTTCTATGTATAGTTATTAGGGGATGACATCTGGAGAGGTAACCCAGAGAAAATCATGAAAAAGATGATTCTAGGTTCTCGGATAATGGTTACTTGGAAAGGAGAAAGAAGATTCGGGTGGGAATAGAGCAGAAAGTTCTATATTTTCACCTAATGGTGCCTATTGTTTGATAATAATTAATCAAGCCATACATTTATTTAAATGATTTTTGTATCTGGGTTCTATTTTACAGCGAAACAGTGAGATGTGCAATTAAAATAGAGACTCAAATGCCACAATAGCCAAATATAACCAGTGAATCTTATTTAGAACTATAAAGACATTTGCCTATATATTGAATATAAGATATTGTTAGGAGAATTGCTACGTTGTTAAGGGTAACAGCAGTAGCGATGTTGTGGAAGAAAACATCTGCAGTTTTATATTTCCAAAATGAAGGATTTAGTGATGAAATGGCATGGTGTCACACAGTCGCTCTAAAATCCTCCTCCAAAATAAGGAGACAAGTATGCCAAAAATGTTAATAATTGGGTTTTTTGTTGTTGTTGTTGTTTTGTTTTTCTGGTCCTTGGGTTCAAACAATAGTTAACTTTAAATATAAAGACGGAAATGTGCTCCAGTCTCTACTTCTGTGTGCATGTAGAAAAAAAGTGTGAAGCAGGACAGCCTCTCATCACACTGCTTAACAGAGACCCAATTCCACGTGTTCCTCACCCTATGACCCCTTAGAATATTCTTCTCGCCAGTCATCTCCTTCAGTTTACACCCCTTGTGCTCCCTGAGTGGCCTGTGAGAGAATCCCCCCTCTGAGTATCTGCTGCTTGGACTGAATAACATCCATTGTCCTTCTTTCTTCATCCTGATGTCCCCATAGTCCCAGGAAAGAGTCAAAGGGTGGTGGGCGGAGCTAGACCTGTGGGGGCAGTACCCAAGGCTACTGAACAGACTTCTGCAGTGGGTGGGCGGAGGGAGTTAGGGCAAGGAAAGGAGAGGGAAAGAGTCGGCTCTTCAGGCTCTTCATCTTCTCGGGTGTTCACTATTAAGTCAGCTTCCAGAGGCTGGCAGCGCCTTTCACTGGGACAAGCTCTGGGACCTTTACCTCCCTCAGGCTCCTGAGCATCATGCCTTGCTCGAAGAAGCCTGATTATTTACAGAGTCTGCTTCTCTTGCAGTGGCCCCTTAGCTACCTTGCCATCTGTGAGTATTGAACCAAGAGTGCCCAGCAGGAAGGCAACCCAAGAAAGCAGGGCCAGACCTGGGTGATGGTCTTATGGTCTCAGAAAGTCTCATGTTGGGGCCTTTTGATCAACTTAGATGGTACTAGAGAGCCGTGCTGTAGATTCTTAAGCTCTGTGTATTCTGAACGAAAAGGAACAGGTGAAGCCCCGAGGCATAGTGCGAACAAACGGGAGTGTGGAGCACGATCACATCAATGTGATATGCCAGTTAATTCCAGGCACTCCTTCCCCTGCACTACCTCTAGAGAGAAGTGTGTGCAAGGGTTTCCTTGGGAACAGGGAATTGCACAAATGAACAGTTAGCATTGTGGGCTTAGAGAAGAGGAGCCTATGGAGGTTTTGCTTCTTGGTTTCCTTTATTGTGTTGTTGCTGTTTTATTGATGGTTTGGTTGGATTTTGTGAGACAAGTTCATGCTCAGTGTGGTCTCTAACTTATTATCCTCTTGTCTCAGCTTCCTGAGTCTTATGCCTGCATGCCCAGCTAGATAGCCAGCATTCAAGCCATAGAGTTTTCCATTCTGAGAGTGGAGTGTTAACGTGGAGTAAAAGGAAAAAAAAATGTAAGGAGTGTTGAAATAAGCAAGAGGAAAAGAACAGTGGGTAGGAAACAGTACAGGACTGGAGATGTTGCATGGGAATGGTCAAGAGAGAAAGAAAGAGTATAAGAACAGTGGGATGTAGACTCATACACTGTTACAGATCCTGAGATAATGGAAAGGAAGGGAGCTAGGGGGCAGGAAGAGGAAAATGATAAGCTGAATTCGAGCAGTAGACATGCAGCTTTTCCCAGGCCCAGAGCCAAAGTACCGGTATGGTGACTAGACAGGGAGCCAGGGAAAAGAGGTAGGAGGAGAAGTGAGGATTGCATATGGTAGATGACAGAATATTCTGAAGGGCAAATGTCAAGACCTAGACTGTGCTGAAGCCCAAGATCAGAACGTGGGTAGTATGAGGTAGTAGTAATAGGACTGGGCAGAGCCAAATTCTGCTGCCAGTACAAGTTTGGTCTGGCCTGCTCTTTCCTTAGTTTGGATCGTGCAGCCATTGCTCGTTTGCCTGTTGTTCACACCTTTGTGGCTGTTACCAGCACTTTACTTCGTCTGGTTTTTCCTGGACTGGAAGACTCCAAATCAAGGTAAGACTCATGAACCTAGGGGAAAAAAAATGTTCTACCCTGGTCTAGTACCGTGCTTGTAGGAGGCTTCCACTCATCATGCCACTGTCTGCTGAGTTCCTTTCAGAGAAATCTCTTCCAAGTTCTCAGAGCCACAAACACTAGGCAGCTGGAAACATTCTGAGAGTTCTTCCTTTCCTGCCTCTTGGATTTAGTCCCTCCAAGACAGTAGGGAGTCTCTGGGTGAGTGAGAGGTATGGAGTGGAAATATGAATATCACCCTCTGCCGGCACTTTTGTCTCAGGTGGCAGACGTTCGGCCTGGGTAAGGAACTGGCGTATCTGGACCTACTTCAGAGACTATTTCCCCATTACAGTAAGTATTCCTTCCTCAGCATCCCTCTCAACATTCAAAATGCATATGCATTATACCAAATGACTACGAGTGTCCGTTAGAAAACTGAGCATTTGGTCAAAGTGTCGGCTCTGGCTAGATTACAGAATGGTCTTCTGTAATTTGTTGGGATATTTTGGAAACCCTTGGCATGACCCGCCAAGGGGTCATAAACTAAAGGGATGTGTCATTCCGTTTAATAAACACGACTCCAAAACTTTCACTGAATGCATGTTTGGGCTTCAGAGAAGTAATTACAGAGGAATTCATCATGAGCAAGCAGCTCATATCTGATGGGGAGGACGGGTGAGGGCATAATTCAAAGCTGGTGCAAGACACAGATGTGATTCTGATGAAGGGTAGAGAGGAAATGGGTTCACAGATGTGGCAGTACTTAAGCAGAGGTTTCAGTGGTCACTAAAAGTTACCTAGGCAGATACTGAAGGAGGATGACTCAAGCAAGAGGCCCAGAAATGGACTGTTCTGAAGCTCCTCTGGGTATTCTTTAAAGGAGATGACAGACACAGTTCTCGTTCTGACTTTTCAGATTTCTTTCTTTTCATTTGTGTATGAGCATTTTGTCTGCATGTATGTAAGCATAAAGCATGCATTCAGTGCCTGAGGAGACGAGAAGAGAACCCTGGATCCCTTAGAACTGCAGTCACGGGTGGTTGTAACCCCATGGGTGCTGGGAACCCAACCAGGTCTTCTGCAAGTGCAGCAAGTTCTCCTAACTGCTGCACCATCTCTCTCTGCCATGCTCTGTTTTTATTTTTAGAGCAGAGCTTTCTGACCATGACATATAACATAACATTACACAAATACATCATTCTCACGGACCCAGATGACTGAGACTGCTTGCAGCCATAAGCAAGTAGGTCATTGATTTCATTTGCCTCAGATCTTATCTTGTCACCTCAGGGTTGTGGAGGTCAAAGTCCAGGCATCTTGAAACCCTTGTGTGCTTTGTCTGTTAGGCAGCTGTTTGAGAGAATACCCAAATCTCTGACAAGTTTTTACCTTGCTGCTCCACGTGAGCTCATTCCACCGTCTGTGCCATGTGTTTCCATGCTTGCAGATCCTGAAGACTAAAGAACTGCCACCTTCACGCAACTACATCATGGGGGTCCACCCCCATGGGCTCCTGACCTATGGCGCCTTCTGCAACTTCTGCACTGAGTCCACAGGCTTCTCAAAGATCTTCCCAGGCATCACTCCTCACTTGGCCACACTGTCCTGGTTCTTCAAGATCCCGATAATTAGGGACTACCTTATGGCCAAAGGTGCTTCTGTCATACTCACTGGAGTTTCTGGTCCATGTCACTATAGATCTTTCATACACTGCACCCTTTCAAGCTTCTTCTCACCCCACTGCACCATTCCTTTTCCCCGTAATCATAGGGTGGAAGTCAAAGCTTATGTCTTGGACCGCTTAAACCTTGGCTCTGTTGCTTTCTGTAAGATCATGGGCAAATTAGCTACCTTCTAGTGGACTCAGCTTCTTCACCAGAAAAAAATGGTGCTGGGATAGTATGGTGATTAAATAAGCATTCTCTTAAGTATAGTAACTTATATAAGTAAAGCATTCAATATAATGCCTGGTACAAAGTATGTGCTCAATGAACAATAGGTAGTTCCATTAATGGAAAGAAAGGTGTAAGAAAATTTAAATTCAGAAAGTTTTATTTATTCTACTGAAAACCATCCAGCTGTAGCTTCCATCCAGTGCTTCCTATGAACATTGCCTTTAAGTGAAGTGTATTCTCTCTGCTCACTGCCTTCTCTTTTCCACACTTCTATCCCATCTCCTTGAGCTTTTCCTCCTTTGAGCTCTAGGAACACAGAAATCAGTCTATTCTCTCTGACATTTGCTCCTTTCATGATAAGTTTGTCCTCTCTATGTCTTGATTCTGTCTAGGAGTGTGTTCTGTGAGCCAGCCATCTATCGACTACCTGCTGAGCCATGGCACTGGAAATCTCGTGGGCATTGTTCCGGGAGGAGTGAAAGAGGCCCTACAGAGTATGCCTAACACCACCACCCTCATTCTCCAGAAGCGCAAAGGGTTTGTGCGCACAGCCCTCCGACATGGGTAGGTGTCCCCCAACAGGAGGAATAGGTGTCCCTCTCTGCAAAACATGACTCTGTAGATTGTGCTAAGATGAGTACCATTTGAGTTTGCCCCCTAGGAACTTATGATGGAGTAGGAGATGTGGGTGTCAAATATTTTTAAAGCTTTAGGGCATCTGCTTCCTCTTGGCAAGCTGCACCAGTTCCCAAGAAGTCAGACTATGAACTTAGGTACAATGTCCAGGGCAGTTAGACTCAGGCTAACATGTCAATTACATCCACATTGTCTCTGCAGCTAGTAAGTAGGTATAATCCACATTTGTTTGCAGACGAGAAGTACAAGCCACACCACAGAACAATGGGTCTGTGTGAAGAACCTGATTTAAAATCCTGGCTCCATGAGGCTTGAAGTGTAGTGCAGTGGTAAAGCAACTGCCTGACAGGCATGAGGCTCTGGGTTCCATACCAGCATCAGACAATTAATAATGATGTTGATGATGATGATGATGATGATGATGATGTCCCTGGCTGTCTGACTTACCATACAAGCTGGGATATCGTTCTAAGCCTTGGGATTTTCATCTCCCTAACATGGCTACTGATCATTGTTGCTCCTGCATTGGGTGACTGAGCTTTACAGCTCAGGCAGGACCTTTCATTTATGATCCCCCCTGCTTCAGCTTCATGGGGAGCTTTGATTACAGTTCTATGCCACCAGAGCCAGTGAGTTATGAATGAATTCGCTCATATAAAATACCTACCGTGGACTCTGCACACAGTGGGTGACTGATAAATGCTAGCTGCGCTGCCTTGGGAAAAGAAGTGGGGAAATGGAGCTGGCATCTGGAGTAATATGGAGTGTACCAGTTCAGTGGTCTAGCTCATTGAACACAAGGGCAATTGCCCTATTGCATACTCAGGGAAGAGGCAGATCTGTCTTCAAAGAAGCTCACTTGAGGGGCTTATCAGTCTGGAGTATGATAAATGAGCTGTGAAAAGAGCTCTGAGTTGGATTCAGGAGACCTGGATTCTAGTCTAGGATCTGCTGCTCTCTGACTGCTTGCAGGATCTTCATTCTTCTGGGGGCCTGTGCTCTGGTTTTCCACACTATGTCCTCACTGTTATAAGGAACCAATCAAGTAATGCATGTCAAAATGCTATGTTTATTTTTTCTCACTTAAGGGCTATAAGGAGCTTAATTATTTTTCCCAGAGCACTGTTCTCAATAGGTTGTTGTAGACTTTAGAAAAGAAACAATGTTCTCTGCTTGAATTTCAAGGACAATACCTTATGCTTGGTCTACTTGAGGGAGGGGCATTTTATACATCTCTACACATAACCTGCATCTTGTGATTTCTCTAGCAGAAAGTTTGATGTTCCCTCCTTGACAACCCCTGGAACCTTTTCACCATATGAATGTCTGAATGTCTCTTCCTAGCTCTTCTTTCCTGTCTGCATCTCTGTATTAAGCCCCTTGTAATCCAGACTAGAGACAACACTGTCATTGGCCAAAATGAAGGACTCTGTTTAATGTTTAAAAAAAATGTTTTAGACTTCTAGTATTCTAGATCTTAATAGATGAGTGTCTGGCCTTAAAGTCCTTCCAGCATGTTTCCCATGATAGCCTGTTTCTGAGAAATGAGGATTTTCCTACAGGGCTCATCTGGTGCCTACCTTCACGTTTGGAGAAACTGAGGTATATGACCAATTGGTGTTCCACGAGGACAGCTGGATATTCAAGTTCCAAAGCTACTTCCGCCAGATCTTTGGTTTCTATTTTTGTTTCTTCTATGGTCAAGGCTTCCGTCAAGGCTCCTTTGGACTCCTACCATACCACAGGCCCATTGTCACTGTAGGTGAGTGCTGCTCTCAGCCTCAGGGCCATGTAAGCTCTTCCTCGCATCCATCTAACTGCATTTACTTTTCCCCCAACAAAGGAGGGTATCAGAATGGGAGAAGCTGAGAGCTGGCTGGAGTGGCCAGAGTATGGTGCCCAGGGAAGGAGAGGGTAAAAGAAATGAGGATTCTGGCACTTTTCTCTGTTTTCATCTCTTTTGACAGTTGGGGAGCCTTTGCCACTGCCCCATGTTGAAAACCCAAGCCCAGAGATGGTGGACAAATATCATGCACTATACATGGATGCCCTGAAAAAGCTGTTTGACCAGCATAAGGTCCAGTATGGCTTCCCAGACACCCAAAAGCTGCTGTTTTTGTGATTGAAGAAACTGTACCCAAGAGCATGGTGACACGTGCTTTGGAGAGGAAACTGGGTTATCTAGAACCAGAGAGTCCTGGGAAATGAAGGAAGGTGAAAGACGCTATGTGTATAGTCAGGGAGAAGAAGCCAAGAGCTCCTTACTGACCATAACACTGCCCCTGCCCACACCCCCACAGGAGTTGTCCCTGTGGAGCCCCATCCACACATTGTTCAGAGGAGAACACCCTGAGGCCCCTCTTGCCCCACATCCTTTCTGAACCTGAAATCTTAGATTCTGAAGGACTCAAATGACTCACAGTCACCACTCCAAGTTTTTAAAATCTTAATAAAACATTTAAATTAATATGTGTTTTGCATAGATACCATAAATTCAGCTAATTTGAAGCGCAAAGTCCAGCAGTGCATAATATTTTCAGAGAGTTTTACAGTGACCACCACAAGCTACTTTGGGAGTTCTTTCAAGTACCACTAGAAACCCTATTCCTGTTGGCAGTCACTGCCCACTCCTTCAGCACCTGGCAACCACTGATTTACCTTCTGTCTCTAAGGCTTTACCAGTCTGAACATTTCACATAAATGGAACAATATAGCTTATGTTCTTTCATGATTGGCTTCTTTCTTTCAGCATGTTTTCAAGGTCCCTCCATATTACAGTATGTAACAGTGCTCCATTCTTTGTGACTGAATAGCAACCTATTGTAGATAAACTATTTTGTTTATCTAGTCACTAGTGGAAGGACAACTGTTTTTTCCCCACTTTTTAGCTACTATGAATAGTACTGCTACGAGTATAATATACAACTTTAAAATAATCTTCTATCCTCAAATACAAAGGCTTACTTCCATACTACTGCCAAGCATGATAAAAGGTTCTTTTTTTGAGATCAGTTGTCAGTAGCCATAAACATTTCACATGTTTTTTCCTTGTAATGATCCTTGGTTATGCTAATCCTTACTATATTCTATCTATAGTTTTTTTTTTCCTAAGAACTGTATTCTGGATACTTTATTTTCTTAGTTTTGTTTGTTTGAGATGGTATCTCATGTAGCCCAGGCTAGCTTCATGCTTGCTATGTCTCAGAGGATGGCCTTGAACTTCTGATCCTCTTGCCTCTGCCTCCTGAGTGCTGGGATTACATGAGTGTGCCACCATGCCTGATTTATGTGGTACTTGGAAAGGAACCTGGGGTCCAGAACATGCTCAATAAGTACATGGGAACAAGGGAACATCTGTGTTTTAGGCTATCAACTGAGCTACATCACCAGCTCCTGTATTCTGATAAATGTAAAGAAGTAAATAAAAACAAGGATGTCTCTTACTTCAGAAAGTAACCAGCAAGAGACATTTTAATTTTTAAGGGGATGAAGAGATAGCTCAGTGTTTAAGAATACATACTATACTGCTCTTTCAGAGGACTCAAGTTTTGTTCCCAGCACCTACATTGGGCAATTTTATTTTACCTATAATTCTAGCTCCAGGGACTCCAGTGCCTTTTTCTGGCATTCTCAGGCACTTCAATCACATACACAAGTCCCCATACATAGATAAATGAAAATAACAATAAGACACCTTTTTAAATTCACCAAATAAACCAAAGTTAAAGGCCCATTTAGACCACTTTTCTCTTTGTCTTTGCTTGACTCTTAACTGTTACATAATTTGTGGTCTATTTCTAACCCAGACTTCTCTCATAAGCAATAGCCAAATGTATCCAATTTACCAATCTCCAATAAAGACCTTTCATTCATCACGCCCTGTTTCAGGCAAATCATCTCCTTCCTTCCAATTTCCATTTCTATCTCCAAGTCATACCAACTTTACTAGCTTTCCTTGAGCCAACAAGCCCCTCCTCTCCTCTACTGTCATAATCCAGTCAAAGACCATACCAAAATTCATAGACTACTTCTATTCTGTCTAGTAAAACCTGCTCTAATCAGCTCTTCCGTCAGACTACCTTGCTGAATCTTAAACCTCATTAGTCACCCTCTAAAATAATTTCTCACTTCTACAATGACCCTACCAAAATATCCTAACCTATGTTCTGGTACCACTAATGTTCTTAGATGATAACAATTGTGGCGTAGAAGACAATACTAAAAATGAATGTAGGTGGTGCTAGGATAGATGTACTTGCTGAAGTGTTTTTAGAGCCTTTAGACTTTAATTCTAAAGTTCAGAACATTAATGGACATTGCAATTTTCCTTTAAAAGATATTTTATTAATCTTTGAGAATTTCATAATTGTATTTTGATCATATTCATCCTTTCCCTCATCTCTTCCAGGATCCATCCCCCATTCCATACCCACCCAACTTTGTGTCCTCATTGTTTTAACCCATCAAGTCCAATAAGCACTTCCTATATATTTTTGAGTGTGGGGCCAAAAGTTGGAGTATGTTAGATCTGCCAGGCACCACCCCCTCAAAGAAAGCTAGCTCTTCTTTTCTTGACAGCTGCCACTTACCAATAGTTTCTCAGGTAGAGGTGGTACTTCATGCCAACCTCTCACCTCTATGCTATGTTTAACCTGGCTTTAATTTGTGCAGGTGTTAATGCATGCCGTCAGAACTGTTTTGAGTTCATATGTGTAACTCTCCTACTGTGTACAAAAACATTAATTACCTGTGGTAATCCACCACCTCTGGCTCTTGTAATCTTTCTGCCTCCTCCTCCACAATGATTCCATGAGCCTTAGAAGCAGGGGGCTGGATATACATGGCCCAGTTAGAGCTAAGCATTCCAGTCACTTATTCTCTGCACATTGTTCAGTTGTGGGTCTCTGTGTTAATTACCATCTACTGAAAAAAAAAAAAAGCTTCTCTGAAGAGGTTTTAAAACTATACTGCTGCATCTGGGATCCAGAGCACAGATGCAGGGAACTTAGTCTTCAGGCATGTAATGGGGGCAAGTGGAGTTGGAAGAACATGTCTGAACACTGTAATTTTCTAAAGGGGAGTATTCAATATACCACAAACTTATCTGGAGATCGAACCTTTATTTCAAACAATATCTATTAAAACTTCACAGGACATTTGGAGTTCCTCTAAATATAATGCTGACCTACAGGATGAGGTTTAAACTTTTCAACATGGCAAAGAATAGTACTAGTAATATAAAGTGGCTGATTTGCTTTTGGATCCTATCAGACCGGAGGGCGGGGAGCACTTAATAAAAGTACATTTACAGAATAAATCAAAGCATCACAGGGATCGATACAAATGTAATTAAATCAAAGAATAATTGGTTTTGATGTGTTCTCACCTGTTCCTTGAAAGTAATAATGAAAAGAAAAACCTCAAGGTCACACAACATGGAAGCATGGCTATGTATAGTTAATATCACAACTCCCTGGAAGAGTAAAAGAACAAATGGATGGAAGTTTAAATCTTGACCTTCTTGTTGGCATGTGCATGTTATTCCCCAATACCCCTGTATCTTTTACCTTATCTTTACCCATTTCCATCCTCATCTCTTTCAATATTTTTGGGATACATTAATATCTTTTCTAAAAATATGAACAAATAAGTAAATCTTTTTATGAATATACTTCAACTTTGCTTCACTTAAAAAAAAAAAAAAAAGAAAGGTATAGTAGCTCCGGCTTATGATCATAAATACTTGGAGTAAGGAGAACAAAAGTTGGAGGCCTTTCAGAGCTACAGTGTAAATTCAAGATCAGCGTGGGCAACTTAGTGAGACCCTATCTCAAAACACAAAAGCAAAATGAGAGCTGGAGGATAAACGTCAGTGGTAGAGTTATTTCAAAGCATGAATGGGAGCATATGTTTTATTTCCAGCATACAAAAACAAATACAGAAGAGTGAGAACATACCAAAGGGGCCTAGAAACAACAGGAAAAGTCCCTCAATGGTAATCTTGTAAGCCACAAGATAAATAATATCACATTGTATTATAATCTAAAACATAACATACAATATAATAAATTTGTAATATATTCTAAACAATATCAAAATTTCATAATTTATCAATATTACTTATAATATGGTTAATGTTTTGTTATAAAATAATATGATTATTATATAAATACTTACTGAATAAACATTGCAAAAGAGACTAAAACTAATAGAAGAATGGCAATATGTGTGGACACCAATCTCTAAGAGGAGAACCTTCACTTCTTCTGTATCCTCAAGTGTCTACTAGACTGAGCAACTCAATTTCAAAGACTGAAGTATGGGAAGGGGGAAATTAAGTCTGTTCTAAAGTCAAATGCCTCTGACATAAATTGATTGGCCTGCTCTTTGATCACCTCCCCCTGAGGGGGGATCAGCCTTACCAGACCACAGAAGATGACAATGCAGCCACTCCTGATGAGACCTGATAGACTAGGATCAAAAGGAAGGAGAGGGGGACCTCCCCCATCAGTGGACTTGGGGAGGGGCATGTGTGAAAAAGGGGGAGGGAAAGTGGGATTAGGAGGGGAGGTGGGAGGGGTTTTTGGGGGGATACAAAGTGAATAAAGTGTAATTAATAAAAGTTAAAAAAAAGTAAAAGAAAAAGTAACTAAATATATATAATAAATAATGTACAATAGATCCCATAGATGTATCTGTTAGAATAGTAGCCTTTTTTCATAAGCAACTTGTGTGCTTTTTGAACTTTATTGCTGTTATGGTTTGAATGAGGATGGCCCCCACAAGCCCATGTAATTGAATACTTGGTGGAACTGTTTGGGAAGGTTTAGGAGGTGTGGCATTGTTGGAGCAGGTGTATCACAATGCCAGGCTTCAAAAGCCTCCTAATCAAGCAGTCTGTCTGCCTCCTGTTTGTGAGCTATGAGCTCTCACCTGATGCTCCAGCTACCTGCCACCATGTCTTCACTCTGCCATCATGAACTGTAACACTCTGAAAATGTAAGCCTATAAGCCCAATGAAGTGCTGTAGGAGTTGAATTGGATATGGTATTTTATCACAACAATAGAAAAGTAACTAATACAATTACCCAAAATAATTTTAGAGAAAAATTGAAAAATTGGACAGGAATCTCTTTTCCTGGCATCTTAAGGTAATCCGTTAAACATAATTACTGGTATTTTCATTTTTACAAAATAATTTTGGAAAGCATTCAAGATTCAAAGGACTGATTTTCCCTCTCCCAGCAGATATAAAGGATTGTTCACTTGTTAACTTTTACCCTAGTGGTTAGGTTTTCCACAAACTTTTATCATGTTTCCTTCTTATCTGGGGTGAAAAAGAAAAAGCCAGACAGGGATGGTACACATCTTTAATGCCAGCACTCAGAGCAGAAGCAAACAGATCTCTGTGAGTTCAAGGCCATCCTGGTCTACATGTTCCAGGACAGCCAGGGCTGTTACACAGAGAGACCCTGTAACAAACAAACAAAGCAGTAATGAAAGCCCAGACTTATCTTCAAAGGGATAAAGCTCCCCTGGAATCACACCGTCTAGGTAATCACTTAACGTTATCTCCAGCTTCATAAAGAAGCCAATTTAAACTGACCCCAAAGGGAAGAATGGTAGCAGAGTCTCAAGTTTCTGTTAAAACCCAGCCATTCTTACAGGCCAGAGACTGGGAGAAGGGAATGGCAATGAGCTCCAGGAAGTGGGGGATGGGTCTTTTTGAAAGGTTAGGGAAAGCAAGCCAGACACCTACTGTGGCATTTCTCTAACTCACTTAGGACCACTGAGCTTCATTCCTTAGAGCCTCTGTCCTTACATTTCTTTAGGCGGGCCGTACAAATCCACAATATTTGTCAATATACATCTGCATACATATACATATACATATATCTCCCTCTTTATTCGCATTCACAACAATAGGCATTATGATCTTTATGGTTCTTAGTAAGTCTGGTAGTGGAGATACAGGTTTACAATTGTTTAGCCCATACATACACTTAGAAGTACAGTAGCACCTATTACCGTCTTGGAAAAGGTTCTTTGGGAAGCTTCACTAGAGAAAAGGATAAGGACAAAAACTTTTTTTCTGGAGGCATTTGTTTTCAGTAAAATGAATCATTTTATTGATTCCTGTTCTGCCCATCAAATCCAGTTCTCCTTTTTTTTCCTTCTTTTTTACTCTTTAAAAAATTCTTTCATATCTTACATCACAACCACAGTTCCCTCTCTCTCCTCTCCACCCAGTCCCTACCCCTCATCTCCCCTCTCTCCCAGATCCATCCCCCTTCACCTCTCCTCAGAAAAGAGAAGACCTCCTAGGGACATTAACCCAATACAGCAAGCTACAGTAAGACCAGGCACCTCCCCTCATATTAGGGCTGGACAAGGCAACCCAGTAGGAGGAAAAGGGTCCCACAAGTAGGCAAAAGAGGCAAGGACAGTTCCCACACCCTCTGTTAGGTTCCCCACAAGAATATCAAGCTACTCATCCATAACGTATATGCAGAGGACCTCGGTCAGAACCCTACAGGTTCCCTGATCTCCAGAATATATAGATATAAAGAAAGTTTCTTCAACAAATGGTGCTGGTCTATCTGCATGTACAAGAATGCAAACAGATCCACATCTATCACCTTGCACAAAACTCAACTCTACTCAGGATGATCTTTTCCAGATCCCACCATTCACCTGCAAATTTCATGATTTCTTTGTTTTTGATTGCTGAGTAGTATTCCATTGTGTAAATGTACCACAATTTCTGTATCCATTCTTCCACTGAGGGGCATCTGGGCTGTTTCCAGCTTCTGGCTGTTACAAATAAGGCTGCTACAAACATGATTGAGCAAATGTCCTTATTGTGTACTTGAGAATCTTTTGGATATATGCCTAGGAGTGGTATAGCTGGATCTTGAGCAAGCACTATTCCTAGTTGTCTGAGGAAGCACCAGATTGCTTTCCAGAGCCATTGTACAAGTTTACATTCCCACCAGCAGTGGAAGAGGGTTCCCGTTTCTCCACAACCTCTCCAGACGTGTTGAGTGAGCTATCCCAGAAGCAGAAAGATGCACACGGTATATATTCACTCATATAGACATATAATATAGGATAAACCTACTAAAATCTGTACACCTAAAGAAACTAATCAAGAGGGAGGACCCTGACTAAAATGTCCAATCCCTATCCAGAAAGGCCAAGAGGATGGACATCAGAAGAAGGAGAAAAGAGGGAACAAGTCAGGAGCCTGACACAGAGGACCTCTGAAAGGCTCTGCCCTGCAGACTATCAATGCAGATGCTGAGACTTATAGGCAACCTTTGGGCAGAGTGCAGGGAATCTTATGAAAGAAGTGGGAAACAGTAAGATCTGGAGAGGACAGGAACTCCACAAGGAGAGCAACAGAACCGAAAAATCTGAGCACAGGGGTCTTTCCTGAGACTGATACTCCAACCAAGGACCATGCATGGAGATAACCTAAGACCCCTGCACAGATGTAGCCCATGGCAGTTCAGTATCCAAGTGGGTTCCATTGTAATAGGAACAGGGACTGTTTTTGACATGAACTGATTGGCCTGCTCTTTAATTACCTCCCCCTGAAGGGGAAACAGCATTACCAGGCCACAGAAGAAAATGCAGTCACACCTGAGGAGACCTTATTGACTAGGATCAGAAGGAAGGAAAAGAAGACCTCCCCTATCAGTGGACTTGGGGAGGGACATGCATGCAGAAGATGGAGGAAGGGAGGGAACAGGAGGAGGGAGGGAACCACAAGGGGGATACAAACTGAATAAAGTGTAATTAATAAAGAATTAAAAAAAACTCAAGTCTAAGTGGATTAAAGACCTCAACATGAAACCAGATACACTGAACCTGATATAAGAGAAGGTAGGGAGTAGCCTTGAACACGTTGGTACAGGAAACAACTTCCTGAACAGAACGCCAATAGTGCAGGTACTGAGATCAACAATTAATAAATGGGGCCTCATAAAACTGAAAAGTTTCTGTAAGGCAAAGAACACCATCAACCAAATAAATTGACAGCCTACAGAATGGGAAAATATCTTCACCAGTTCCACATCTGACAAAGGACTAATATCAAAAATATATAAAGAACTCAAGAAAATAGACAACAACAAACCAAATAACCAAATTTAAAAAATAAGGTACAGACAGATCTAAACAGAGAATTCTCAATAGAGGAACAAATTGCTGAGGAACACTTAAAGTAATGTTCAAAATCTATCTTACACCTGTCAGAATGGCTAAGATAAAAAAAAAATTGAGTGACAACTCATGCTGCTGGTGGAAGCACAAACTTGTACAGCCACTTTGGAAGTAAGTATGGAGGTTATTCAGAAAATGGGGAATCGGTCTACCTCAAAACCCAGCTATACCACTCCTGGGCATATATCCAAAGGACGCTCCGTTCTGTTACAAGGTCATTTGTTCAACTATGTTCCTAGCAGCTTTATTCATGATAGCTAGAAACTGGAAACAATGTAGATGTCTCTCAACTGAAAAATAGATAAAGACAAACAAAACAATCAAACCATAATGACATAAATTGTCAGAGATCAAAACAATGACTACCCTCTGGAATGAAATCTCCCCAGATCCAGAGTGGATGATATTTTATTGATGTTGGAGGTAGAAAGCTATTGTTTAGTAGAAGAAAATGAGACTTCCAGTGAGCTCTAAGTTACTCATTGAAAGTAACAAAAATTGGGCAGAAGCCATCATCTTGGTGTATTGGTTAGTTTTTATCATGAGTTTTCCAAGCACATTGTATTTTTTCCTTTTCTTACGCACATCCCAGAACATGAATAGGGCCCCAAAGTACAGTAAAGAATTGATGGTAATAATCAGCCTGCCCCAAGAAGTACTTCATCTTCTTTCTCTTCGAGAACTGCTATCTTTTAATAATCTACAGTTTAGCTCAAGGATGAATCATTTGTCTTTGTCTCACTTTATAATCCAAATCCATTGTCTTTGGCAACCAAACACACCAAGGTCCTTCATAGACTAGCTCAAATACTTTAAAAAAATCAAACAAACTTTCTTTTAGTGACAGACCACACTGATTTAGCCCATGCTGGAAATATCAGCCCTACAGATTGTGCTGCCCTTCAGTGGATTCTTCTGAAGACTGTGCAAAGAAGTAGGAAACTTAGAAACTCACAGTGGAAGAGAAATATAAAAAGCATGAAGAAAGATCTTCATTAGAAAACATACTTCAGGCCAGGTGTGGCGGCACACTCCCTTAACTCCAGCATTCAGAAGACAAAAGTCCAATCTCAGCCTGTCTATATAGCGAGTTCCAGAACAGCTAAGGCTACATCATGAGACCCAGTCTCAAAACACAAAAACTCGATTAGATAGGTAGGTACGTAGATACATACATACATACATTCATTCATACATACATACATTCATACATACATACATTCATACATACATACATTCATACATACATACATACATACATACATACATACATACATACATACATACATACATTTGGAGCTGAAGAGATGGCTCGATGGTTAATCTTTTTTTTTCATCTAAATCATGTTTTTATTTCTTTCACAACTTTTAAAATGTGATCATTCAGTGATTTAACCACTTTACTTCCAAATAACTTCTTCATTGGACCTCAGTTCCCTTTGAAAAAGCATGCTCTTATTCCGGAAGGCAGTCAGCTTTTCATCATCCCTCCTGTCTAGATAACATCCAAAGATAAAGCCCGAGGGGACAAGTATGTGAACCCAGTGGTCACGAACCAGCTGAAATAAGTTCATGATGACTGCAGCTCGGTGCAAGCACGACCCCACAACCAAGGGCAGCGGCAGGAAGCTAGGCCACCGGTGCCGGTGGCTCGATGGTTAATCTTGTGTACTGCTCTTCCAAAGGACTTGAGTTCAGTTCTCAGAATCCATGTCAGGTGGCTCAAAACCACCTGTAATTCCAGCTCCAGGGGATCAACTGACTCTCAATTCTGAGAACATCTGAATTCATGGGCACACACTCATACACACACACATGGGAGGAATACATAAATGCAGAAAATTTATTTGGAAATAATCTCTCTGGTTTATACTTTTGGTGCATAAATCCAAATTGGCAGGGAATAAAATGTTTTTGTTTTAAATTCTGAATGTCTTGTAATTCCTAAATTCTCTTGGATACTTGATGCAGCTATTTATTTTCTTATTTTTTTTAATTCAAATGCTTTAAAAATGCTTTTAAATTTGGTTGTGTATCCCTTTTTAAAACTTGCTCCTTTCTTGATGCTAGAAGCTTGACCTGTCTTCTTCCAATTTATCACTAGTGTCATTCTTTAGTGATCAGTTTTTAGCCTCTGGCTCTCACAAGATTTCATTTTTGCCATGATCTTAGCATTTCTAGGCAGCCCTAGATCATAATCTAGAATTTGGGCTGCCAGTCTAATTTCCTTAAAGTTGGAAACTATTAAAAAGGGGTTCCCATCTATAGGAACTGTAAATGATGTTTCTTAATTCATTACCCCATGGATTCTTCATCACAACCCTGTCAAATAGTAATGAGGAAACTGAAGCCTGAAGACATCAATGAACTTGGCCTAGTAAGATAGGAAATATAGGATGGAGGACTATAAAATATGGAAAAAGTGGAAGTTCATCTATAGGACCTCTTCTCTCATTCAGGTTAGCTTCATAAACGGGTAATATAAAATACACAGCAAAATATGACAGGTTCTGGTTAGGCTACTTTCCTTCGAAACATTTTTTTTTTAAATTCTTGCCTCAACCTAGCTGTTCCTGAAGTCCCTTTATATTTTTTAATTTCTTGAGATTCATGTAAGCATCCTAAAGCAGATAATAGGAAAATAAACAACAAACTGAATTGCTGACAAGTAATCATACATTAAATATTTATTAAGCAGTATTTATTAAACAAATAGAATAATATGAAGACAGCTATTTATATTTGCCTAGCATCCTAGCTTTGCACAACCTCACTGTAACCCAAAAAATTTCATTAAGCTGAGATTATGCTCTTCATTTCATACATGGTGAAATTATGGCTCGAAGAATTTGAGTGACTCATCCAAGGTAACACCCTTGAGCCCCATTTTCAGATTTGAGAGCTTGGATGTTCTGATAATCAATCTGTGTTCTTTTATTCATATTACATTAATTGGAGGTTTACAGGTGGGGTACACAAGATAAGCATGCATGAATAATTAACTGACAGTTCAAATTAGTGTACATAATTTCAAGAAATGTTAAAAAGTGTCAACTGACTGATATGGACAGTAATTGCAGAAAAAATATTAGGGAGATCACTGTTAATAAAAATTGGCAGAGAGGGTCTCAGAAAATATGTAAGACCTAAGCCTAGCCCTTGGAAAATAGGTAGGAAAAGGACAACTCGGGGTGGAGGGGACACACATTTCAGTACAGAGGACAGACAATGAAAGTACAGAGTAAGAAAGTGTTAAGTATTTTCTGGAGAGAGAAGAAAGAGACTGATTTGCCCAGAGAAGTTTAGAAATGCAGCTCAATGGTACAAGAGCAAAATCTTAGGCTCTGTCCCAAGCACCACACACAGACAAAACAAACCAGCAAACCCAAAAACCTAGAGAAGAGAAATTTGTATTGAGGGAGAATGGAAGGTTGATAAAACTTTCTTAAATTTCTGCCTAAAGTATTTTGACTAGTAGATAACAAAAATCCTCAAAGTTGTCTAAAAGAGTGAAACTATGAGGGTAGCATTAGACAGATTGCATTTATGTGGAAGGTGGCTGAACGTAAGGATGAGACAGAAACCTATGAAGGCGGAAAGAGGCAGTATTAGAATGGTAGCATGAGGACCATAAAAGAAAGCCAATTACAACTGGCAAAGACAGGAATGTTAGAACATGATGAGATAGGAAAGAGTGGACTTTCCCAGGAGCTTTAGAGGCTAGGTAATTTAAGAGAGGTACAATGAATAGAAATGAGCAAGATAAGTAGGAGAACTGGTTCAAGCAATTTCTTTTTCTTTCTTCTTTTTTTCTTTTTTTCTTTTTTTCTTTTTTTCTTTCTTTCTTTCTTTCTTTCTTTCTTTCTTTCTTTCTTTCTTTCTTTCTTTCTTTCTTTCTTTCTTTCTTTCTTTCTTTCTTTCT